CACCCACCCACCCTAGAATTAACCTCAGACCTTCCAGTTCAAACATTCACATAAACGTTACAATGGTTTTTCCTTTAATAAAACAAGTACCTCTAAGCAAAGAATATTCATACGAAACTACTAGAAAAGTAAAGACGACCCCCTGCTCACTGAAAGAAATTCCCAGGGCATCCAGGCCCTGTTCAGTCATGGGTAAGGCAGAAGAGGTTTGTGTGTTTTGTGGGAAGGAGGTGGTGTGTGGTTACGTGTGCCAAGGATAAAGATCAAAACCAGAAGAGGAAGGCATGGTGAGGAAGGCATCACTTGGGCTGGTGCACTCCTCGCCATTGCCAGGCCAGGGGAAGGGTAGTGGGTTCCACCCCTGCTGTGGTGTTCCCATGATATCTGAAGGGGCTGCCAACTCTGTGAGATGGTCCACAGACACAGCTTCTGCACTTGTGAATGCAAGGCTGTGTTGTTTCACAGCTACTTAGGCCACTGGAAAGGTGTATTTTATTTTCCTTTTGATGGCAAGAAATGCCCCTAATAAGTTTGGGCTTAAGAGAGGAAGCGAGTAGGGTGACAGTAACAGGAAGGAAAGAGGCAGTGAGTGGGGAGCCAGCAGAGGCTGGAAGTTCCCCATGGTACCCCTCCTACCTGCTCCAGATAATCAGTATGACAATGAAGTCAATGTGTGCAAAAAGAAGTGGCATTTCTTGCCAGATCACCAGGATTTGGAGGGAGAGTTGGACTAAATGCATCAGCTTGGCTGTGGACCTTTCTTTTTTTTTAAAAAAAGGGAAAAAAGGAACTTTTTTTTTTTAAATGTTAAAGCTACATTTGTTTAGGCCTCCCATGACTGAACAGAGTGTGAGGACTTGCCCCCTTTTTGTTTGTTTTTTTTTCTTTTTTCTTTTTTCTTTTTTAAGCAGCAAGTCTACAGAAAGGTAAATCACTGCGGATGGGCTCGAAGCTCATTCTGGAGTCTTTGGCTTATGTGGGAGAGGTATGCATTCGCAGGTGGCTGATCAGATTGCGCTGCTGGGTAAATTTCCCACCACACAGTTGACATTCGTAAGGTTTTTCTCCTGAGTGGACACGCATATGCTCTGTCAGTCGGTACTGCCGGGTAAAGCGCATCCCGCATTCCTCGCAAGCAAAGGGCTTGAGCCCTAAGTGGCTGCGCATGTGCCGTGTCATGGTGCCCCGCTGCGTGAACATCTTGCCGCAGATGTTGCAAGGGAAGGGCCGTGTCAGCCAGTGAGTCTTCTCATGCTGCCGCAGCGTGGCTGGATCCTTGTAGCTCTTCTCACACACTGAACACTTGAAGGGTCGGGATTCCGCGGCGTAAGACTGGTTGGGGTTGGACAAATCCTCGGCTTCATCCTTGCCGCCGTATGTGCCTTCCTCCTTGATGTAAAGGTCTTCCTCGGTGTGCGTCTCCACATGGGCGTTGAGTTGCTCAGAGCTCGGGAAGCCTTTGCCACAGGGAATACAGACATACAGGTTGTCACCGTAGGCCACTGGCTCAAACCCCTCCTGCCGGTAGACGTAGTTGGCACTTGTATGCCCGCCGCTCTCGCTCTCGCTCTGGCCACTGTCGTCACTGTTCTCCTTGCCATTTTCCACCTCCTCCTTACACGGGTAGGGTAGGTCTGCGCCGTAGGCCCCGGCCAGACTCCTCTCCACAGACTTGGACAAGGGCCCCAGCAGGATACCATTGGGCAGCCCTTCGCCCTCGTCCCTGTCTTTGCCCCCCTCCTTTCGGTCGAAGGCATTGTCTTTCTTGATCCACTCCTTCTTGCGGGACGAGTGCCGGAGGCCCTTGCGCTGGCTGCTCTCTGTCAGTGAGTGGTGGCACTCTTCGCTCAGATCCATCTCCATGGGGTCGCTGCTGTCCGCCATGCTGTGAGGGGCTCCGACCCCAGACTCGTCGAACGATGAGGCACTGTTGGCTGCAGGGGCTGAGGCAGATTGGGGAGAGCCGTGCTGGCTTTCGCTGTGCTGCGTGTCATCATGGGAGGCAACAGGGAGCGACGGGCTTTTTTTGGACAGGTCGAGGCCTAGCTCCTGGTCCCCAGTGCTCCCATTCGCACTGCCGCTCCCACCACCGTTCTTACTGGCTCCCCTGCTTAAGGAGTGACAGTTCTCTTGGTTGGAGCTGCTAATGAAGACCTCGTCATCGGAGAGCTTTCCCTTTGACAGCTCTTTTGAGTGCGAGCCCTTCAACCCCTCATTTGACCCTGAATAGCGAGCTTGGATGACCGAAGCAGTGGAAAGTCTCTGACTCCTGGCAGATCTCCCGACACCAAGGCCACCGGCCTTGCCAGCAAAGGACTTGCTGTTCCGCTTCAGCTTCTTTCTGCAGAGAGCTGCCAGGTCGTGCAGTTGGAGGTAGCTTGCTGCGGTGAGGAGAGCATTAAAGTTCTGTTCACCGGGCTGGTCAGTCGTTAAGAGCTTACCAGTATAAATAAAGTCCAAGATCTGCCGGAACACGGTGGGGTTCACCATGTCCGTGTCTAAGTTAATCAGGTTGTCATGCAGGACAAGGGATTTGAAATACATGCTGCTGGCTGCCAGGATGTTCTTATGGGCACGAAACAGGGCATTTTCTACCACAATGATCACATCACAGAGGAAACCTTTGGCTCGTTGCTGGTTCAGCTGCAATAGCAGTTGTTTGGCATGATTTGGCAGTTCCATCTCCACCTTCTCTTCCTTTCACCTTCACCTTACCACCTGCAAAACAGGAGTATGAGAGGGTGTGAACCTGCTGTTTCCACTCCAACAACTCTACATTTAATAGACTGGCTTAACACAGTGCAGTCTATGTTAGGCTTGACACTGACTAAGGAGCTGTGGGTATGTATGTTCAGCCCTGCAAGCTGTGATCCTGCTTGGAGTACAGAGAGAATTATTTCTCACATTAGACTTTGATTCAAGTCTTTGAAAAATCAGATTTGTAAGTATCTCTTTACAAAAGCAGCCGTCATTGGCTGGAATTCAAAAGATACCATCAGGAACATAATAGTTAGATACAGGGGAAAGCTGTTTCCCTCTCTTGACACAAATCTGAAGGGAGGATGAGGAGCAAGAAAAAAAAGGAAGAATAAAGCAGCATTTACTTCAGTTCCATTTGCATATCTGAGCATGTAGAATAATTCGCATAAGCTGCAGCTTCCCTGCTTTAACATGTAGTTTGATTCTTGGCTCTTACATGTTGAAATCCTACAAAACCCAGCTGCTCTGGAGTTGAGAAAATAACATGTTGCAACTAAATCCATTGAAGATGTAATTAATCACACTGAGGTGTGAATGGGGAATCTCCTTAAGAGTTTGAAAGGCTGTTTTAAAAACCACCCCCCTGGCAATGTCCATATCCCAGTCCATTGACATGAAGGGCTAGAAGCAACCCTGAACTAGCTGCAATTCGGGATGCTGAGCTAGCTAAATGCCACCAAATGTCTTCAACAATCTGAAACTGATTTCTGAAGTTAATTCTGCCCTGCCTTTAGGTTTGAAGGAATTTTGTTCAAACTGGTCAGAGTCAAGTAACCCAACTCAAGTCACAGTCTCTCCACCTTGAAGTGCCGGGAAGAGGGGAAAATTGAGGTTACCTCTGTGTAGTTCATGTATTTCACAAACAGTATTCACAGTGTATTTCAGATATTTATATTGGCTTTCTCAGTAGCATGGACTGTAGGAAATACCTAATTTGAGGCATATCAGAGCTAATTGCAAAATTGCAATTGCATGGTTGGTAGATACTACAGCACATAAAAACCAGAATTTAAATCTGGGGCTGCATTCAGGAATCCAAGATTTATTATCTTTTTTTGGGGTGTGTTTTGGTTGGGTTTGGTTGGTTTTTTTGTTGGTTTGGTTTGGTTGGGGTTTTTTTTGTTTGAAAGTGCCAACTACTACTTGTAATGGGCCTTTATGTGTTAAGATTGATTTAAAATAATCTCTGGAATTCAAATGTAGGAATTACATACCAAACATACAACAGCCACGTTTAGCCCTCCACCTCCTTCGTTCCCTAGTTTATCATATTATTGAAACAGATTTCTCTTACTGAAAGAGGAGCAGCCCTTAAGTCCATAGAAATGAAGAGGTTAAATTTTCTCTTAAAATCATAATCAGTTAATGTCTTTATTGCTTGTGAGTCCCATTACCCCACTCTGTCCCATCAGATTCCAAATGATGAAGCATTAGATTGAATTATCTTTCCTCAGTGTCAAGTATGTACACAAGAAAAAGAAATATGGAGTGATACTATCACTATTAAAAATAACCTCCCTCACACCTGATTCTTACTAACTGGTGATAAATAGAAAGATGTAATTTGGCAGAAAGGTGGTAAATTTACAGCATCCATTTCTGCACAACAAAAAGATTCTGCTTTCTGAAAAATGCTATTGAAAGGTAAAGGAATACCATTTTTCCTCAGCACTGCTGCCTGACTAGCCTGGTACTTCCAGCAGATCTTCCAAGCACGTGCCTCCCTTCTTCCACAGGACACATTCCTGCACTTTGTCATATGATCAGCCTGCTGCTTGGTTATACTTGGCAGAATTTGGTAGCCCCTGTTCAGTGCACCAGCACCTAATTCAGCATCACACAGATCTCAGTGGCTCATTGCCTTGACCCACAGCTGAAATGGCTGCTCTGCTTTTGTGTTCTATATTGTTTCAGCAATGGATGGGAACCCAAGAAGATGGTGGATTCACCACTGTGCCTTTGTGCACATTAACGTTGTTCCCAGAGATGGCTGGCTTTAGAAAGAAAGGGTAACAGCCAAAAGGAGGAACTGCAGGCTTGCCATGGTGCTGCCAGCTATTTCTTCTATCATCTATAGTGTTTCTGTCATAGAAATTCATCCTGCAGCATCACAAAAACATGATAGAGACAGGGATTACCACCAGTGAACAGTGTTGAGCACTTTAAAAACAAGTTTTGCTGTAATGAGTTACATCAGAGTTGCAGCACGCAGGCAATGTGTCTGGTTGTAGTGGCTTGCTTCCAGAATTGCTGATTAAGAGGAAGGAGCAACAGCACAGAGGCACCAAATACGCACTTTTATCTAGCCAGGCCAGTAAAAGCACTTACTTCTGGGTCACCGAGATATATTGATAGGGAAGGACAAAAACATGGCCTGTAACATAACACAGCATCTATATATACACAACTGCATCCTGCTCGAGAATACCACGAGGCAGCCTACTCCTACACTATTTTCACTACAAACATGATGGTGCTTTTCCATGCATATCCCTGGATATGATTTTTATGTGTTCCATAAAGTACAAATATGGTAAAGGAAAGGAAACAGCACAGCCAACATTTTTTCCTAAACAGACTAATAAAAAAAGAAAAGTGTGTTACTGAAGTAAAAGTGAGCTTATTTCCCATTCATGTGGTATTTGAAGCAGAGGTCTAGAAATCTCTGTGTATGTGCTTGTCTAAGCCTTTGCAAAGAGTAAAGACTTGCTGCAGCTACTAACAGAAATATGGATAGATTTTTATTTCTTTTTTCTTTCTTTTTGCCTTAAATGATATTGAGATCAGGTAATATGCCTGCAGGGAAAGCCCTGGAAACAGGGGCTGAATTGTAAGTCTGCTTTTTAGTGACCTTCATGAGGAAGATAATATTATTAAACCTCAGTATGTTCTGCAGCATAAAAATTAGTATAGTACATGTTGTTTAAATTACCTCTATTTATCTCACATGTCAATTTTACAGAAGTATTCATGTTCTGTAGCACAAAAGTATGAGGTAGGTTATTATCTTTAGTAGATTTGAAAAGCAGTGGTCAGGTTTAAGCTGTAACTGTAACACTGCCTACCAAATTTGCATTTGTTAGGTAAAGTCTAACATGGATTTAGCAATCCCAACAAAATGAATGTGATGGAAAAAGGCAGCAAAACCTTCAGCCAAATTTAGAGCCCCATGTTTAAAATTCTGCCAGAATTGCCCACTGAGGGCTTTGCCCAGGGCACCAGTGTGGTCAGAGAACACACCTCTGACTGACTGGCCTCTGTTGACGAAAGCTTTGTAGCATCAACCTGGCTTGTGTGTCTTGTGCAGTCCTGAACAAAACTAAATTAATTCCAAATATTTTCCAGAGCTGACCAGTTACAAACCCTTCTTTAGTGCATTTCAGAGGTGGGGGAAGAGGGGTGTTGGAAAACTTGTTAGCAAAAGAGAAGCAGGTATTATTCCTTTATCTATGGCATTCCTAAAACCTCACTTCTAGCTGGAAGCATGGGACCAGACACAACTACAAGGTTAAGTCCAGTGTAAAAGTTAGCAGATCTTCCCAAACAAATGGCAGGTACAGCCTTGCAAAGGCCTTGCTATCCATCAGTTTGCAGAGACCAGCTTTTAACAAACCCTGAGCATTTGGATAACATCGCCACCACCAATAATGACAACAAAAGCCCCCCAAAGCCCTGAAAAATCACAGTGACTTATATTTCTTGTATCTCAGTGTCATTTGTAAGAACCCTTCCTTCTCTGTTCTCTGCAAAAAGACAGACAAAAACATACTCCTATTTCAGGGGAGCCCTGCCTCAGGAGAGGCTCGGATGTATTTCTAGTAAAAAACCCAAAGCCCACGAGTATGTAGATGTTATACTGGGGTCAAGTCTTTTTATCACTGAATTTGGTGTGCAGAATTTCACTCCTTGGCATTTAAAACAGGATCACAGAAAGCTTTGGACAAATAGCATCAGAGATGGCCTGTTTTCAGATTGAGATTGCTTCCTAGACATTCAAAACAGATTTCAGAGCAATGAACCTGCTCAAGTATTCTTGTGCAAGTAGGGAATGAAGCAAGACTGAGGCTTCCACTACGTCCACCATATCCATGACACTGAGACACACAGCACATGCAAAGACATGAAAAATACAGGGCACAAATCACAGAATACAGTAATGCTGCAAGCAGATGCCACACATCAACAAAGCTTTGCAAGCTAAGAGCTGACAGCATCTTCATAAGCTTACTGCCCAAGGAGGTGGGTAACTGAGAGCTGCTGTGCCCAGCCTGGGGCACAGTGTGATCCTGTGGGTATGAAGATTGTGCAAAACACACAGACTGCTCCAGGAGCTGAGCTGCTCTCAGTACAAAGCAGGAAAAACTTCATTTTCTCTCAATTTCCACAAAAATCTGGACATCACAGAATATTAGGTTGCCAAAATACAGGAGAGAGGAATCCCTTCACCCTTTTAAATAGCAAAAATCTACATATTCACGACAGATCTGATTCTCTTTAATATCACTAAATCTTTTCCTAAAAGGAATTGCGGAGTGAATGCTAAATGTGTTATATTAGCAACCTCTGGCAGGAGATGCTATTTGATTTCATCTCTGAGATATAGATTGCAGCATATGAATATTGTTTACCTTTTAAGAAGCAACACCAGTGAAGCAAAGAATCAATCAAAAACAGATCTAAGGAATCACTCATTTCACGTAGAGGATTTGTGGATGGATGAGAAGGTTAGACACCGAGCACCTGAACAGTGAACTAACAGTACTGCAGATAAAAACCAACAAACAGATTAGATGTGATGTATCACATTAGATGCTGTTAAAGCATTAGCCTACTGTGCATGTTATAATATACCTAGGACAAGATAGTGGCCTGCTTACTTATTTAAATCTCCAGCTTCCCAAGCACTTGTGCTGTGCTGAGCAGACACTGCAGCAGTGAGTGTGGGGAAAAACAAGACAAAATTAAATCGGTTGTTTCCTACATTGCTTTTTCCCACCAATTTACTTCACATTAAAAATGCTGTGTCCAGTTGCTATGGGACCTGGGTGAAACTGAAACAGATGACTTCTGCACTCTTCCGTTTCAGATGAGCTACCTTCTTCACTGCACTTTAGGACCCCACTGGGAAGAGAGCTTTCCTGTTGCTCACTGGCTCATCTGATCTTTCTCTCCCCACATCCCAACAGAACTTATTTTCAGGACTTTCAAGGTATCAGTGAAGTGGGCTTCCCCTCCAGGAGCTGCAGTTGTCCAGTCATTAACCCATGCCTTTTAAAGGTGTTCACATTCCAGAGCAGCAGAGGCATGGGGAGGAATGCAGGGACTGTGTTAGCCCAAATGGTTCCTATCCCCAGCCCCTCTGAGCAGGCGGACAGCAGAACTCAGAAACAGAGGCAAGAACATGCATTTTCATCATTGGCAGTGGAGCGGCAGAAGCGCTGTGGTGTGGGCTCAAGCAGAAAACAGGATGCAGAACCCTTGTTTTTCTCACAGGACTAACTCACTTCAAAATAGGTAAGAACAATGTGTCAAGTTACTCAGGGAGAGGTCTGCGGAGCTGGGGAAGGGAGAGGAAGCGACATGCAGGACAGAGCAGGATGTGCAGCTGATGTTGCAGGTGTGGACATGGAAGGAAGGAGAATGGAGGATCTTCACAGAGGATGCCACATCAGCAAACTTAAAGTGGCCCTTGTTTAGTTTGTTACATTCCAATTAGTGCCAGGCAGAACTGCCCTCCCAGCTCCCTGAAGCAGCTCTTGCAGGACTCCTGCAGAAACAATATGGACACAAGCACCTCTTGGGTACCTCTGTGCAGTAGTGTTTGGACATTAGGTATGTGGGCAGTACATGCTCAACTGCTACCAGCTCCTGGCCCAAAAAGGAGAGAAGAAAAAGACTCAGCTGATTTCCCAGTCCCTTTCCTGTTCTAGAATAATAAGGAGAGCCTGACATGGCTAGGCCATTCTCTACTGCATAGCAAACTGCCCAGAGAAGGGGAATCTCCATGGGTGAAAAGGGTAAGGGCCCTGTGTGCATGAAAGCACTAACATCAGGAGAGCAAGTGATTTCTAGTCAGTGCAAGGCTGCAGCAAAGCAGGAACACCTTGCTATACAAGCTGAGACTATGAGCAGTAGAATGCAGATTAACCACTTGGTTGCCGCTTACCATGCCAGGTACATTGGGCTAAAGGCACCTCCATCCAGTGCTGCCCGACGTGCCAGGTACATCCCATGATGTTCCATTGAAATCACAACAGGCCATCAATAGAACGTGGCTGCACGGATGCAGAATGGAGAATCAGCAGGGACGCTGTTAAATGCAATTAAAAAACTGCAATCAAAATTGAAAGGTACATTTTAAAACGGCCACCTGCCTTATATATGTAACTACCAGAACAACCTCCCCTCCACCCAGCTCCCCAGAACTGCTGAACTGTGACAGAAACACAGCAGAAGGCCTCTGCAAGTTTCTTGATGACTCTGGCCACCTCCAGTCAGGGCTCCCAACGGCACTGAGCTTCAGCGGGAGCAGTCCATATGTATCCAAGAACAGCAGATCCCAGGATGTCTGCACCAGCTTCCTTCTGCCTGGAAATTCAGGCAACTAAATATCACCATTTAGAAATGCCTCTACAAGAAAGCCCTGATGCCAGAGCTTCATGGTCTCATTCCCCACACAGTAAAGGCAATGGAAGGAACACTTAAATACTGATTATCTGTGTTGTCCTAATTTCCCAGTCCCCCTTCCCAAGCCTTCGGAATCCTGTTCTTCTAGAGATGTTATGGCATTGAGCCAGGCTTTTGTTACATCTGTGGTGCAAGACAAGAAAAGAAAATAGTGTGTATCTTCAATTTATAATGATGCTTCACTGCTAATTTAATGTAGGTTCTTAGAGACTGGAGATCGAGTTGATTCATGGGGAATTGCAGGTGGTACAAGAGTCGCAAAACTTAAGATCTATAATTTCAACCTTCCCTGCCCAAAGGAAAAAGCAACAACATCTTTTCCATGTCAGGTAAAGGCACATCCTACAGATACACTCAGCTCGTCAAGCCTAGGGTATCCTCTGCAGTGCCTATCCTCCTTCCCCCAGAGCTCCTGTAATCAGCTCCAGGCAGTCTCAGGGTAGATGCTAAGGACAGGTCCCTCTCTACAGGTGGTGATGATGCCCCAAGGGGGGGGGGGGG